AACTCAATTATGTCTAAAGGCCTTTCCACATTCTTTATATTCCTATGAGTTCTCATCTGTATGAATTCTCTGATGTTTATTGACTTGTCCATACACAGTAAAGGCTTCTCTTCATTCTTCATATTCATAAAATTTATAGCCAGTATGAATTCTCTGGTTTGAAGAAAGAACACAAGCAGGTCTAAAGACAATTTCACATTCTTCACATTCCTATGATTTCTCACCTGTATGAATACTCCGGTGTGAATAAATTATCCATATACAATAAAGGCTTTATTGCATTTCTAATATTCATAAGCATCTCACCAGTATAAATTCCCTAATATATACTAAAAACTGAATTAAGTCTAAACATCCTTCCACACTTATATTCATCAGGTTACTCTTAAGTATAAATTATTGATGTTAAGTAACTGGTCCACACATAATAAAGGCTTTCTCTTTTACCAATATTCATAAATTTTATCATAAATATAAATTCTCTGGTTTGCAGAAAGAACTCAATTAGTTTTTTAATGTTTTTATTGATGTTTTAGGGAGAAAGAAATAGAAACATCAATGTCAGAGAGAAACATCAATCGGTTGCCTTCTGCACACCCTCTACTGGGGATCAAGCCTGCAACCCAGGCATGTGCCCTGACGGGAATCAAACCACGAACTCTCAGTCCATAGGACAATGCTCAATCCACTGAGCCACACCAGCCAGGTGAACTCAATTAGTTTTTAAAATATTCCTACATTTCTTATGTTCACAGGATTTCTCACCAGTATGAATTTTCTGGTGTTCCCTAAACTATCCACATAAATAATTACTTTTTCACATTCTTACCATTCATAAAATTTCTTACCAGTATGAATTCTCTATGGTGTGGTAAGGACTATTTATTCATTCATTCATTCATTCATTCATTTATGAGAGGGAAGGAGATCAAGAAAGAGATAGAGATCAGTTGCCTCCCATAAATGCCCTGAGTAGGGATCGAAACTGCAACCTATATATGTGCCCTGGCTGGGACTCGAACCCACAACTTTTTGGTGTATTGAACAAGACTCCAATCGAGCCACGTGGCCAGGGCAGTACTAGATTAAATTTAAACATCTGTTCATATTCCTTATATTCATTGTATTTTATACCAGTATGAGTTCTCTGATGTTGAATAAATTGATATTCATTACTGAGGGTCAGTTCACATTCTTTATGATTACACCATGTCTACTTAGAGCAAATTTTTTAAAAGATTATATTTATGATCTTGCTTACAGAGTTTCTGTCTATTATTAATCATGTGTTATAAAATGAGAGAATTCTATAAGTGGTCATTTTTGTAAATAATAATTTGGATTAATAATTCTTTTGAGATACCTGACACCTTTCAAACATTTTCTCACATTTCCAGTCATTTCAAAAAAAATGGAGGCCTTGAAATCAAGTATATTACTTCTTAATCTGATTCCTTAATTCACAGATCACATATTTAGTGTCCACTCTCCTTAATTCTGACTCCAAAGACTGTTGTTGCAATAGAAGCTCCAGAACTAGACTGATATATCTCTTAATAGCATTCTCAGAGGAAACAGTTTTACTAGTAAGCTGGTTTTGTGCAACTTCTTATAACTTTCCAATAATCTATTTTTTTTATTTCTCACCCAAGGATACTTTTCTATTTATCATTAGCTAGAGTGGGAGGGAGGAGGGAGAGAGAGACAGAGAGAAACATCAATATGACAGAGCCACATCGACTGGTTGCCTCCCACGTGAACTGACGAGGGCTGGGATGAACTGCAACCGAGGTATGTGCCCTTGACTGGAATTTAATCTGTGACTAATTGGCCTGTGGGCCGACACTCTAACTGCTGAGCCAAACTGGCTAGGGCTCCAATGATCTTTTTTAAAGTATTTTTAAATTGATTTTTAGAAAAAGAGGAACTAAAAGGGAGAGAGAGAGAGAAAAACATCGATGTGAGAGCAAAACATCAATCAGCTGCCTCCTGCATGCCCCCTACTGAGGATCGAGCCAGCAACCCAGACATTGTACCCTGACCAGGAATCAACTGGCAGCCTTTTGGTGCATGGGACAATGCCCAACCGAGTCACACTGGCCAGGGTTTTAATAATCTTCTAAGCATAAAATTTCCCATATGAATATTCTCCCAATTAAAAATACCTGCAATGGTTGGATTCCGGCCCTGAACACTGACTAGATTGACTATATAAATAAACTAAAAGATAAAAATCAAATAATGCAGAAAAGCATTTGTATTGATTTGCTAGGGTAAATTAATAATTTGTTCCATTCTATCCAAAAATCAATCACAAATGTGATGTCTTAAAACAAAAGAAATTTATTCTATCACCGTTCTAGAGGCCAGATTATGATATCAAGGTGCTAGCAGGCTCTTACAGTGGTGGGTGAAGGGGATGACATTCAGCTGGTCATTTGAGGCCACAGACTTTCTATTCTAGAGCCATGGCCTGATTTGTCCACAACCTCACAGAGAAGGCCCCCACACTTATAAATACTGCTGTGACTTACCTGAAGACTCGGACTCAATTGGCCACATTTTGGCACATGACAAGGTTGAGTTGGTTTCTCCAACCCCTCCCAAGATCCCTACAGCTATTAGAAGCTTGAAAAAAAATAGACAGTGGTGCATAAACTGGCCCTGGCCAGTGTAACTCGGTTGGAATGTTGTTCTCTTTCTCAAAAGACTGTGACCTCCCCTGGTCAGGGCACATACTTAGGTTGCAGGGTTGATCCCCAGTCAAGTGAAGGCAACCAATCAATGTTCTCTTTCACACTGATGTCTGTCTATCTATTTATCTCTATCTCTTCACTTCTCTCTAAAAATCAATAAGCATATCCTTGGATGAGGATTTTAAAAACTAGTGCTTAGCCCAGCTGGTGTGGCTCAGTGGATTGAGTATCGTCCCTTGGACTGAGAGGTCCTGGTTCAATTCCAGGTCAGGTCACATGCCAGGTTTCGGGCTAGATCCCCCAGAGGCAGCCAATCGATGTTTCTCTCTCACATTGATGTTTCTATCTCTCTCTCTCCTTTCTTCTCTCTCTAAAAATCAATAAAAATAAATTTTTTAAAACCAGTGCTTAAACTGTTAGCTTCAAACAGCTCACAGTTAAGAAGGCTCTGCTGAATGGTTTGGAGGCCACTGAGGTATGAATGTGGTTTACTGTCAGCAGGACCATAGGCAAGCGTGACATCATTGGCTATAATGTTTGATGACCAATCTTTAATGTCTGTTTCTTTTTAATTTATTATTTGAATGTTCTTGGACCATAAATGATCAGAATGTTATTTGAATAAAAATATGTCCAAAAAAACGACTGTAGGGGAGAATCCATTCCTTACCTCTTTCAGCTCCTGGTGACTGTCAGTATTCCTTGTGGCTGCATCACTCCAGTCTCCCCTTCCATCTTCACTTGGGTCTCTCTCCTTTGTGGTTTCTTCTGTTTTTTGTAAGAACACTTTTTATTGAATTTAGGGTCTACCTGGGTAACCCAGGATGTTATCATCTTAAGATAATTAATTTAATTACATCTGAAAAGACAATTTTTCAAACTAAAGTAACCAGAAAGTTCAAGTATTAGGACATGGACATATATTTCAGGAGGCCACTATTTTACCCCACTATAGCATCCAATAAAATTCAATGTATAATTCTGGATTTTAAAAACTCGTAGCAATACTTCTTTACTTGGAAAATAAATATTAAAAACCTACAGTAGAGCCCTGGATCATTTGGGTCGGTGGTTAGAGTAACAGTCCGCAGATCGAAGGGTCATGGGTTTGATTCTTAGCCAAAGGCACATACTTAGATTGCAGGTTAAATTCCTGGCCTTGGTTGGGGTCATGTGGGAGGCAACCAATCAATGTGTCTCACTCACATAGATCTCTCTCGCGCGTGCTCTCTCCATCCCTCTCCCTTCCACTCTATTAAAAATCAATTGAAAAATACCTTTGGGTGAGGATTAACAACAACAAAGAAACCTACAGCAGAAATTATACTTGATATAGAAATTTTACATGTATTATCTTTAAGAGTGAGGAAAAATAAGGATGCTAACCATCACCTGTGCTGTTTAACATGGTACTTAAGGTCCAGGCCATGTTACTTTTTTTTAAGATTGAAAAAGAAAGAAATAAAACTATCATATTCACTATTGATGTAATAATCTATCTAGAAAAACCTACATAAGCAAATAGTAACTAATAAAATATATCAGGAAGTTTTCTGTAATAAAGGTCAACTTTAAAATATTAATAGGCTTGGCAGGTATGGCTCAAAGGATTGAGCTTTGTCCCATTGACTGAGAGGTCCCAGTTTGATTCCTGGACAGGGCACATGCAGGGGATGCAGGCTGTGGGTTGTGGCTCTATCCCCAGTGGGAGGGCAAGCAGGAGGCAGCCAATGTTTCTCTCTCGCTTCCAAGTTTCTCTCTCTCTCTCCCTTCTTCTCTCTCTAAAAATTCAATAAATATTCATAGTATTCCACTATATTATCAATAGGTAAAATACATTAAAATGTATATAATTCAAGGGCGAGGCGCTGACGTCGGGTCCAGATGTGGCCCCGGCCCCGCCCATCCCCGGGGCCCGGCCGCCCAAAAGAAGCCGCGGCGCCCACAGCCCCCGTCCCGCCTGCCACAATGCGCGGCGAGGCTGCGGCCGAGACTTGGTGCTGTCGTTTCTAACGTGGCCTCTTGGCGTCCTTAGGACAGGCCGCCCCTGACGCCGTACGGAGACCCCACTTGTTCGCGTCACTCCCATGCGTTCACTGTTCGGTGCCCAGCTGGGCGGGCGCCTCGTGGACGCGGAGCCGTGCGGGTGACGGCAGAAGCGGCTGCGCGCCCCGTCCAGCCTGCAGAGAGGACACGGCGCGCCCCCGCCCCGCGCCCGCTCTCCGGAGGCTGTGGGTACGGATGCGTCGCTGACAACTTGTAGCGAAGAGCAGTGCTGTCGGCCGGCCGGCCAGAGCACGCAGCATGGCAGCCGCCGCCTATGTGGACCACTTCGCCGCCGAGTGCCCCGAGTCCACGTCGAGCCGCGCTGTCGTGCAAGGGCCGCGAGAGGGGCCGGACCCTGGACCCGAGGGCGCGGCCGTGGCTGTAGCCGCTGGGCTGCCCCGCGTTGAAGAGCGCCGCGACGTCAAGGACAGCGCCTCGCTCTTCGTGGTGGCGCGGATCCTGGCGGACTTCAACCAGCAAGCACCGGCGCCAGCACCGGCGGAGCGCAAAGAGGGCGCCTCGGCTCGGAAGGCGAGGACCCCCTGCCACCTCCCGCCCACGTCGCCCCCATTCCACGAGCCCGCCTCTCCTGGTGGCGAAGGCGCGGCGGCCGCGCCCCTCAGCCCTGCGTGGAGCGAGCCCGAGCCGAGAGCAGAGGCGGGGTTGGAGCCTGAGCGGGAACCGGGGCCCGCGGGGAGCGGCCACCCCAACCTCAGACAAAGGGGCAGACGGGGCCGAAGTCACGCCAACCTCGAGTCCCCGCAGAGAAAGCACAAGTGCCACTACGCGGACTCCGAGAAAGTTTACAGGAAACCCTCGCACCTCAAGACACAGCCGAGAACTCACACAGGTCGGAGGCCCTCCGCCTGCAGCTGGCCGGACTGCAGCAAGAAGATCGCGCGCTCGGAGGAGCTGGCGCACCACTGGCGCACGCACACGGGCGACAAGTTCAGCTGCCCCATCTGCGGCAAGCGCTTCATGCGCGGCGACCGCCTGACCAAGCATGCGCGCCGCCACGCCAACTTCCACCCCGGCAAGCTGCAGCGGCGCGCGGGCGGCTCCCGCACCAGCTCGCTCAGCGACTACAGCTGCTCCGACGTCAGCAGCCCTACCATCAGCCCTGCCAGCTCGCCCTGAGCGGCCCGGCGGCCCCGCGTCCCTGCAGCAGCACAGTCCCATCCCGAGCCCCACTGTCTTGCTCATGGGTTACAGTCATGAGCATGCTGATGCTCATGTCCTCTGTGACTCCGTCTTTTCCTTTTGTCATCAGAAAAAAGATACAGAACTTGATGGAGTCAACCACAACCCACCCCCACCCCTATTTCTTCACCTCAGGTGTCAAACTCAATTTATTTAAAAAAAAAAAAAAATGTTTTTCAAAAACCACCACCCACGAATTGCACAGTGGACAGACCCACAAAGGTGAGAGTCGGCGGTGTCGAACCCTTCTTAGGGATGGACATGGTCCAAAATTTAGTGAGAACACCCCTTCCTGCTGCCTTACTCTGTACGTAGATTTGCACTCTGCTGGGCTCTCTCGTGGACACTCTGGGGACACAGCAGGGAAGTCGAGCAGGTGATGCTCAGCGTCCAGCCTGCAGGTCCGTCCATTGGTCACTAGGAGCCCAGTGGCCGCTGACATTTTTGCTTCCAGGGCAGGTACCCAAGCAGGGGGTCTGCGTCCCTGTCTGGCTGCCGCCGCTCAGCCTGCAGCCTCTGCCCCAGCAGCTGGCCAGGCGCAGGACTTAGCGGGTCGGAGAGATGCCTTATGCGGAGCTGGGCAAAGGAGCACACCCCCAGCCCCCAGGGGGATTGTCTCCCAGTCTCTGCCTCCAGGACCCCCTCTGGCCTCTCTGTGTGGGCACTGGGAGAGGAGGAACAGGTCCTATTTGGGAGACCAGCGCGCCATTGACGTCTAATTTAATAGCGCCGGGGCTACCCCTGCCAGCCCTTGGCCTGTCCCAGGTCCGTGCCCTGAACAGTGGTGCCCGCTACTCTGCCCCTGCAGAAGGCACCGGGGACTTTGAGGATTATACCATGTTCTCTGTCTGGAAAACAACCTGGAGCCCTGTCTTCTACTGAGATGTCCCAAGTGGGTGCATCTAGTTCCTTGTTCTCCAGGCAGGCCCTGCCCTCTTCTCTGGAGACACCTTTGTTCGAACTGGTGGGTAAGTTGTCTGGCCACCTCATCAGAAGCTGTGTGTGAGTGGCCCAGCATGTGGCCATGCTCAGTACCTTGAAGAGACTGGTTGGTAGCAGGACACGGGACACGGTGACTTGAAACTCTCCAGGAGTGGTGGGACATGCTATCACCGAACGTGCATTCTGTTTTCTCCCCAGGGAGCAGCAGGCATAAAGTTGCAGGAACGCTGTCACCATGTCCCCATGACCACACCTTCAGCTTCCGGGGAGCTCTGGGTCCCCTGAGCTCCTCCTGTCCCTCCTGCTTCTCTGGTGCCACTAGGGAAGCCCCACCCACACCCTTCCAGCCTGCTGCAGAGGAAGAGTGGAGAGCCAGGCAGTTTCTTCCCGGTGCAGTCTGGGGTACGAACCTTGGTGGGTCACTGAGACTGGGCTCCTGCACCAGCTCCTCTGCAGACAGCCGGGCGCCCCCCCCCCCCCCACCCCTGTGCAAAGTTGGGCCCTGTTACATACAAGCCCTCAGGACAGTGTGTGTGTGCGTGTTGTGTGTTGGGTAGGGAGGGGGGCTGTGGGTTTGAGGTGGACTTGGTGTGTATTACAGAGACCTCTGCCCATTTTGATGAAGAGGAATGACCCTTGGAACCCCAGATGGGCTTCTTGGGCCCAGAGTGCCTTGGTTGTGGCCAGCTTTAACCCCACCCTCTCTCTAGGTATGCGGTGCAGCACAGAGAACCCTGACGAGACAGGCCTGGCTGGTGCTCACAGCCCCTGGCCACTGCTTCTGGCCAGCTCCAGACGGGACAGCACCCTCTGTCCACAGCAACTAAGAGGGTGGTAGCCTGACTACTCTGTGTCTGCTGGGGTTGGCCAGTGGCATGGTGGTGGCTTCTGAGTAGAGTGATGGGTACCAGGTTGGGCAGCAGTGTTCTTGCTGTGGGTGGAGCAACCAGGGGTGTCTCCACCAACCCCGGCCAGGGTGCAGAGCTTGATGACCCACTGCTGGGCTTTGTTTGGGCTGCAATGGATCTGGGAGAGAGAGTGGACTGTGCATGGAGGCCTGGGCAGAAGGATGCCCCAGTGTTTGGGGTGAAATGTCTTCGTGCCCAGTTCCAAAGTGAGACTGGCAGGGTCCTGGAGGTCCCTTCTCAAGTTGTTTCTGTGTGAAGCCGAGAAAGCCACACTCTGAATACATTTCATGTCTCGGGAACTCACATTCCAGGTTCAGAAATTTTATTCCAAAGTCCTTTGGTGCACTTACAGTCCACAGGTCCCCAAAGGTGGGGGTTGGGGGAAGGCCCCCAGTGCTGTCCCTGAAGCAGCCAGGCGTTTCCTTGTGGTCTGTCATGGCGTTGGGAGGGAGGGTTTCTGACCTGTCCATTCTGCACAAGGGAAGGGGAAAGGACGCAAGGCAGTCACCTCAGAATAAAAGAAGAGCTGGTTTGTTTTAGAGGCAGGGTGGGGGGGTAGGGGAGGGAAATCGGGTGTTTTCTGTTTCTAAAGAGATAACTTAATTTAATTTTTCCTCTAAATGACCCAGGGCTGTTCCGTCTGGTGAATGGAAGGGTAACATTGCCTTAAAACAGAAATATGCAGGTATTGGCTATTTTTGGCAAATGAGCATGTCTTCATTCCCAAAGTGGTTCTGGTCTGATTGTAGGATGTGGGCCTGGCCTGGAAGCTGGGGCGTTGGGAGGGAATCCGGCCAGGCACCCAGCCTGGGGCTTCAGCCAGTGCCCCGCCCTGACTTACCTGCGAGAATTCAGCTCCCTTGGACAGCGGGGAAAAGCCGTGGAGCTCAGGCCGGTTCCAGTGGGCGTCCACTCTCATCTCCTCAGGAACCAGGAGTGCGTGTGGAGAAGGGGTGCGCCTGGCAGCCGCCCTCACTCAGGCCCCCACGGGGACCCTCTGGAAACAGCCTGCATTTTCTTCTAAGAATGTAGAATGTCTGTTTCAGGGTCTTTCATTTGTCTGGTTTATGGCTATACTTGGTGGCTTCAGGGTGACTGAGGAACCCTTAGGACTCTGGGAAATCAGAGTGAAAGGCTTTATTTTGTGGTTGACCCCAGGGCCTGCAGGTCAAGGGGGCAGAGATCTCAAAACAAAGCTTGTCTGAGTGGAGGGAGAGCTCCCCTCCAAAAGGGCCTCATAGTGAACCTGGACCCAGCCATCGGGGGCTCATGTCCCAAATGAGGTCGTCCCTTTTTGTCTCAGCCATATTAGGAGAACAGCTGTCTGCCCCCTCTACTGAGTCCTATAGCCTTCGGGAAAGACAGCCGGACACAGCCCCTTCCCCAAGGGCCCGAGGGTCCTCTGCTGTTGGGTGCTACATAGGAATGGGCAGAGACGTCCTGAATGGGAATGTGGTCAGGAGTGCCCTACCTGTGTCCTGCTATAACCCCACTCATGTCATTTGAGGTTCAGGACCCCCTCTTTACTCTGAGTCCACACATTCAGGCAGGTGCCAAAATCACCACGGTGCAGCCTCCAGGTGCAAATGTTGGCATCACTGAGGTCCCCAGGTCTCCCATGCCCAGGTCACAGCTCAAACCAGAGAAAGGTGATTCAGAGTTGGGGATCCACAGCCGAGCAGCAGGTGGCCCTCAGACCACTTGTTGGCTTTCTGTGGTCTCAAGAGAAGTGTGGCAGACCTGCTCCCCAGCCAGTGTGTCCGGAAGACCCTGCCTCCTTTCTTGCCAGAAGCTGGTGCTAAGGGACTGCACAGGGTCACAGTACTCCCCAGGGACTTCAGTGGGTGGGCCCTGGTGAGAGCAATAGCATCCCCTCATCTCTGATTCCTGGTTTGGCTGTGTTTTACAAGGCTACCTGACTTCGGACAGGTGGCGCTGATTTTGTTGAGCCCCACTTTTTTTTTATCCTCACCCAAGGACATTTTTTCATTTTTTTGTTCAGATAGAGTGGGAGGAAGAGAGAGAGACAGAGAAACGTCGACATGAAAGGTACACATCAAGTGTGTTGAGCCCCACTTTTAAGAAGGCACTCAGTCAGAGACAGAAGTGGCAGAAGATGCACAACCAGTTGGAAGTGCTTTGTGGGTCCTCCGCGTCTTTTGCCACCCAAAGGTTCCATCTGCGATCCTGGTGGCTGCATTTTCCAAAGCTAACCACAAGGATGTGGGCTGATACTTGGGGAGGTCGGCATCAACCTGGCAAGGGTCAGGTCCTTTGTCCGTTTTCTGATTCCAAGGCTAGTTTCAAAGGTTTGTCCCAGACACATTCCAGAGACTTTTGTATTAGAATTTGGATGCACAATCCAGCGTACTACTGATCAATGCCTGAGCATCGTTTAGAGAGAGGCCCTCCCCCACCCACTGTCCACAAGGGAAGAGAGGCACCCCTCGGTTTCTAATGACCTCCTATTGTGACGTGGGACTTGCATTGTGGCCTGCCCAGCCTCTCCCCTTCTCATCAAACTTTAACACCTTACTACTGTTATTTAAAGGTGAATAGGATGGGGACAAGCATGGAAGGGCAGAAGGTGGGCCGCAGGAGCAGCTTGCTCCCAGGGCCTGGGGTGTCTTCCTAGTGGCACATGGTCATTTAAAACCAAGTGTGTGAGCTGACTGCCTGCAAGGCACCCACAAGTCTGGCTGAATGCTGTCTCTCCCACTCAGAACAGGCCGGCTGGGCTGGACATGGCTGGATCCCTGGCCAGCCTGCCCTCCACCTGGAGAAAGAAAGCCACCTCCCAGCGTGGCTCAGACACCTGGGGGGTGGCATCTATTCCTGGGTCAGGATTCCTATCTCTGGGTATGGGAGTGGGAGATTTTGTTCCCTGGCCTCACCCTGGAAATCTCTGTGTGCCAAGTGCCGAGGACTCCAGGGCTCGAGAGTGTGGGCATGTGTCTGTACTGCACAGCTATGCATTGTGGGTGTGGGCCTTGCTGTGGCTCCCACGAGACCAGGAATTGCTTGTGTGGGTGTGTTGGGTGCATGCGTGGGGAATTCAGCTGTCCCCAGACCTATCTGAAGCCATTG